GTCTTCAGAAATCTTTTGAAATCTGCTGAAGTCTTGTGAAGTCCTATGAAGTTTTTTGAAGTCTTGTGAAAATATGAAGTCACTGCGGCTGAAGTCCGTTGAAGTCTCTTGAAGTCTTGAAGTCCGCTGTTTCCCCCTTGGATGTTTCATCATTAGTTGCATCATACCACTAGTGGATAGTTCTAAATATCTGCCTATTTACGGCTTCAAGATGGTTTTGTTTAGATTTTGATAGGATTGGGTATATGTTCAACAATGATTGATAATATGGTCTTATATAAGCATTATATAGTCGATAAGCAATAGCCTCATTTATTACTCGACTAGCAATAAAATACTTAAATATTTTTGGAATTTTGGATTCTCTATGATTAAGATGTTATGTGAATGACAGTTTACTATCAAGAATAGTTCCAAGATATTTTATTTTATCACAATGAGATATAAGGTGTCCATCACAATCGGTATGAAGAGGAGTATTAGGAGTCACTTGTCGGTTGAATAATATTCAGTACGTCTTCTGAAAGTTAATCGGTTTTTTCCAAATTAAAGAATAGGAAATTAAAGTACTAGCTAACAATTGAATAAAAAAGTGTTTTAATTGTTAAATTTTATATCGATAAACTTTATGAAGACATAAACTTTAAAAATAACAGTAAATCATTACTGTTCAAATATGATGCAGCACTGTCACAAATTAGTAATTAGTTTACTATTGACTCGAGGAAGAATCAGTTTTTCTCTTTAACTTTAATTTCGGTAATATATTTTGATAATATCATCGTAGATGAATTAATTTTTAACCTTTTTTAATTGTTAAAGAATAATTTCGGTAAATCTTTCTATTTTGTTTTGCTATCTAACGATTTCTGCAAGCATCTAATGGTTCAAACAAGTCTTAAAAATAAAATATTTTGCATCGAAAGATAGAGAATTTCTGGTCACGAAGTTTCATCTTCAATAGAAAGAGACTTACACTATTCAATAGATCTAATCAAATTGCATCCATCAAGCTATGTTTCATCAGTGATTCAAGTAGTATTATGAGTTGTCACAGAGAAGCATTCTTTCATGGTTTATCCATATAAGAGAAAATCAATGTTTCAGCTTTTATTTGTGTCGGTTAGTTTTCATAACAAAAACATTGAATGCAGCATTTGATATGACTTGCAAAGTTACATTCTACTTCCAGCATTCCTTAGTTAGCTTGGTCAAGTGGGTGAATCATGTTAGTAAACAATTGACTCGGCTGCTAACTTTCCTTATTTGATGATTACCTGCGTTGACGTCATCAGTAGAACAGGTGAATGGATGAATATACAAATAAGGTATTAAATATTATTCATTTAATAAACTAAAGTGCAATCATTCCACTATAAATAATGACAAACAAAAAAAATTGTTTATTGGTCACCCATAGAAAAAAACAATATTTCTCTTTTTTTTTAATATCTCATATAGGATGGAATATTTGGTTGAAATGATTATTTTATTCATTGTAATGAATGAATATTAATTACAAAATGGTAGTTCTCAATAAAATTTATGCGAAATAATTGTATAAAGAATAGATTATTTATCAACAAGAGTCATTTCTATCATTATTATAATCGAATAGTTAGTATCTTATTTATTATTTAACTACCATTTTTATGATGAACTCAATCGAAATAGTTATAGAATAAAATATTCGTTTTTATCATGGTAATATTATAATATGAAAATACTTGATTAATGCGTATTTTCGAATTGTTTTCTCTTGCTAATACTCCATGTAAAAATATTCACCAATTTAACGAATTCCGGTGACATGAAAAATCGTTAAAAATTTAAGAATTTCACGAAAAAAAGATATTCCATTGTTTACACTAAAATCACATTATATACGTAAGCTGATGTTTATAGTGCTACTCAAAATTTTTCATACAGTATTACTGATTACATTTGTGTTGAAGTTTCTTCAATGGTTAATATCTTCCTAAGTTTCATTTGTCTGAAGAGGAAAATCTAGTTGATCAGTTTAATATTGGATATACTTTCTAATAAGATGCTGAAGAAAATCTTAAATACTTTAAGTAGTAAGCGAGTTATAGCTTTAATTGCTACTGTTTTACATCTTTATATGTGCTAGAAATCTGTATCAGAGTATGGCAGAAATGATAAGTCTATAACTCGTTTAATACTTGAATTATGATCAAAAAAAAAAAAATTATTCTATTTGCTGCAATCATAGTGTTACTAAAGTTTTCTTAACCCTTTGGCAGCAAAGCCTGTAAATTTACGGTTTCAAAATTTACCTAGAGAAAAAAACCTTAATTATACTAAAACATAGTTTTTTCGTACGCTTGTTGCTTAAATATACGTGTTGCCAGTAATGACTTTATGCACTAGTGCTTTGCCTAGTATACTGGATTCTAAACCAACTAGATTATATTGCATGTGTTCCAATGAATGGCAGATAAGAAAGAGAATAGATTCACGTTATGGGTGTAAATATTGTAATATAAGCCTTTGCGTGATTGACTACTTTGAGGAATTTCAGACTGTATTGCATTTTTAGATTTTTTTCTTTCTAATGTTTTCTTTCCGTATACTACACGACAGTTAGGTTAGAGATTTTGTGTATTTATATTGTTTTTTTTTATTTGAAAATAAGCTAGATATATCTTCAAATCCAGACTTAGTAGAATAATTATGTTATTAAATAGTATTCAAAGTAATTAAAATGAATTTTGCTAGTAAAATTTCATTTTCTTTTTCTGAAAAAAAAAGACTTCGCGGTTAAAAGGTTAATAAATAGTGTCGATGTTTGAAGATTAGTTAAACAAAGCACAAAATTAATATAGAATTTGTAGTCCTATGAAGTATTCTCTTCACCAATGAATGCCAATAAAGAGAAAAATCATAAAAATAAATAGTGAAAAGCACTATAGGCGTGAAATAGTGCTATTTTAATTTTTCTTTAGTGATTAGAAGGAAGATATGACTAATCTAGAGGGTTGATTTGACTGTTATACAGTCAAAAAAAGAAAAGAATGACTCACACCGTTATATCACTTGATGCAGTCCTGTTTGACCGATGTCGCCACCGTAAGAGAAAAGCCCTACCAGTTTCAACTCTATACAATCCGATAAAGCTCGATTCTTAAAAATATCTGATTGTCAAGTATTATGATCGTTAATTTCGGATTAGATTTTCGAGTGAACGAAAATAATTAATATATAGGTTTTTAAATAGTATTGATGCTTTGTGCTTTCGTGAAATGTTATAAACTAGTCAATATTTGTTTAAACTCTCACGAATTCACTTTTCTAGTCTTATGTTTATCCTCCGCTCAAATCAAACCATGCGGCCGAGTCGAATGAGGGTGTGGAGCGATTGCTCACGTCCGTGCGAACAACTATCAGAGCTTTTCGAAGTGCATACGTTGTTATTCTAATATTTGGTGAGTACTACATAAGCATGAAAGACACTCATTAGTCTTTGTGAAATTTACTGGTAAAACGAAACAACATAGAAACATGTAACGGACATAGATGTGAGCAATGTTGCGTACTTCTCCGTCAGTCTCTCGTATCTCAATGACTGTATACAATGCGCTAGGATATTAAACGGTGTCCATAACTAAATTGAGTGGATGCGTATGACTGTATTGATAGTGTAACGCTAGCCTGTGAATCACGCATTTATGTCGTATTTCCTATATTTTACGGTGTGAAAATGGTGCAGGCACAGTCCATTTACAAATACATTAAAGATTGATTTGAATAGCTGTAATGTACGGTAAACACCTTGTATACTGATTGTTCATTCTATAATTAAAATACCGACTATCTTTTCGCACCCGAGCATACGCTGAAAATAGTGACAGGTTACTATCTATATTTACACTATTTACTATCGTAAACTTGACGTATTTTCATATTTACTGACCGAAAATGAACCGTAAACGTTATCCGTTTTGAGCGATCTGGAGGCGAGTGAAAATTCAGACTAGTAAAGTTTAAGAGCATCGAGAAATATAGGTACTAGTACATAATTTATCCATCTTAAAAATACTCTTCGAAGTCAACTCTAAATTAAACAAGTAACGCCCGTCGCTGCGACTCACATGTCGATGTGAGTTTGAGTATATGTGTTGGTGTCAGTGAAGATGTTAGCAGGGTATCGATGCATGTACAGTGTGGTTCTTCTTTTTACTATTCAAATATCACTCTTACACTCACACATCTACAACCACATCCGTATCCACTGACCCCTCCCCTCTCTCTCCATACTCATACGCCCCACTAACGCACAGTCCGCCACTATATTCCCGCGCTTAACATCAACACACTCACATTCTTACCAATATTCACACCCAGCATATACAAAACATTCGACAACAATACTAACATACCCGCATGGGTACGCACACATGCAAATCTGACATGAATAACTGACTTCCTCTCAACATCCAAAGCTCGCAAGTACGCCACGCAAACATATAGGTCCTACGTCCTGCCACAAAAACAGGATTGATCGATAGCGAAAATATCTGATTGAACAAAAGCTACGTGACGAAAATATCTGATTGTCCAGTACGCTGATAACAAAATCATATGATTAGCTAATTTGCCAGCATGAAAAAAAAATCGTTTTAAATAGCTGCTCAAGACTGTCGCAAATATATGTGTAGACGTGACTTTATAAGTGCAAGCAAACTCATTTTATTTCATATGATCTTTCCTGCAATTGAAGGAAGAAAAATTTCTAGAGATAAAATGAAATAAAATATATTGTTGATTTAAATGATGTTTGAATTGTTACAAAAAAAATATAGTTTTAAATGAACATAGAATTTTTTTCATCGATTTTATATAATATACGATTATATTTTTCGTGATTATGTATAAGTCAATAGGCTTGAATGTTGATTGTTATGCCTTCTAGATATAATTGAATGTCAGAACGAAGAAAGCAAATAAAAAAAATGTTCTTAAGATCTGTTGTCTTTGTCTCACAGTTTCTGTAGTTCATTGTAGACTTTTTCGTCAAAATAGGGTTTTAGGGACGATAAATCTATTTTGTTTTTAATTAGTTCCTTTACGAATTGTTCCATAGCTTCTTTACGTGATCGTATTGTACACTTAGGCCCATCTCTCGTGTATTTTTCACGCATGCAATTCTTGTGATCGACAAAGTCGAGACGAATCTGGTCTTTTATAGGATCACATTTCAAACTACTTGTTGCAACAGCAAAATCTAATTGACTCCAATTGTTTTCTGTATCACGATAGCAGAGCCATTCAAACGATTTATTAGTCATTTTCGCTATGATGTTTGTCTCGACCAACGTTTTTGGTTTGAGTTCTTCAATGAACTTTACATTTTCAACATTGGTATTAGTCAACATAATAGTATGGCAGTATTCATCATCGTATTTACGTGTTCCCAGAATATATGCTTTGTATTTAAGAAAATAATCGAACGGAATACAGAAACGATAGCATCCATAGCACGAGTTTTTGCAATCAAGTGATGGACATAAAGCTTGAGAATCATCTGAACTTTGTTCTGGAGGCAGAGGTGCAAACCAAATCATATCAGGTCCGTGATATGCATGATGTGGGCCTCCTTTGAATTCAGCTACCATAGTTTGCTGCATAGCTGTAGTTAGATTCGACTTGGAAACTGTTTCATTTCTTGTTAAATTCATAATTAAAAAAAGATCATCAATATTGTGAACAACATGTTGAAGATTTTCCAATGAAATATGTTTCGACATCTGATTGCCTGGAAATTCAAACATATGATGCGTGAATTTATACTTTTTCAAAGGAGGTCGTCGAGGACAAATAAATAAGTTGTTAGGATTAGTACAAAAACGGGCTCCGTTAATTTGTCGATGTACACGTTCAAAGCCAACTTGATTCAAAATATTGTATAGGTTTGAAAAAGCTTTTTCCATTTTCGTATGATCATAATTGTTTTTGGAAGGTATACTGCGTTGTTCTAGAGGATGAAGAAGTGTATAATCAGGACAAAGAATTGCATTAATTGTAATTGCTAAATGACTAACAAGTTGATCAGATGGTGTAGCGTTAATTTGAAGTAATTGATTAAGTGCTTCAAGCAACTGGAAGGAGTACTGTACTGCCATATTGACGTTACTCCATGTTTCTTGAGTGAACTGGGCCAGAGCGCGATAGAATTTCAGTTCTGCAGCTTCAGCATCTGATTGTACGGTACACATATCTATATTTTCTTTAATTGTAAGATGTATATATCAATGAATATATCTTGTGAGTCTAAATACGTTGACTATGAAGAAAAATTTTTCCTTTCCCTTCTTTAAGCAAACTACATAGTTGATGATAATATTATGCTGTGCGTTCAATGACATCATCGTTCTGTTTTCGTTTTCTTCCTAGTTTTTCTATACCAAATCGTTTCTTTCTCACTTCAGATCTCGAAATTATTTCAATCTTCAGTTTCGAAACTCTCGTTATTCTTCTCCTCAACTACTTTATCTATTAACGGACGGGCTACGTTTCTAGTAGCTATCAATAAGCTTTTTTTAAGTATTGCTGCCCACATTATTCGTCTTTTTCTTTTACTTTATGAGAGTACTTTATTACTCAGTTTTTCATTCTCAAAGACCTTTTTCTATTTTACACTACGGTTTTTGTTCTAAATACTCAATTTAGTTTGTTTAATGGAAGAGAAGTTTTTGATAATTCATGAGAGATTAACGAAAATCACGACGGTGCTGTTTTAATAAATCATAGAAAGCCATCAAACTATTAAAACAGAAGAAAAGACTAAAAATTTTTTTGCATCGTCGGTTTTCTTATATGAGATATGGAGAAACGCTTCCGTTGTATAAAGCTTTTGTTTTAAAAATCTTATAAAGAGTAAATCAGCATTATCAAAAATGAAGGTAAGTAAAGTTAGCCTCAAATTCTAGTAAAAGCTGCCTATATTCGTCTAAAAACCTATTTCAGAGTTTTTATTCTTGTTCCAACCACAACTCGACAAGCTCTTTCCCATGGTGTAATAAGATTTTTCATGCCTCAATTCATGTCCTCAAAAATTCCTACCTAATGATAATATTCTATACGAATTTTGCAAGCCACATAGTGCAAAAGTTGTGGGCGTGGTAGAGAGTATGGGATGTGAATGTGCATTGCGAGGGTTGGGCAACTTTTTCATCGCTGACAAAAATGGAAATTTCAAGCGGAATTGAAACGTTCAGGTCAAAAATGCTTCCTATCAAGAGATAAGCCTTTCCAAATAACGCATATCGCAATGGCTGATACTTTCACAATTAAGGATACGATATGCATATAGCTATAAACGTACTTTCAGTCTGCACAAAGCAAAGCCAACACGAAAAATGTGCCTCTTAACGAGAAAAATGCTCCAGAACAATGGTAGATTCATTTTTCATATGAGAAAAATTCTTCACTTCATAGATAGTTCTATACATACTTTGCCAACGGAATAATGAAAATCAGGAGGAATAATGTTATTTTCAATGGAAAAAATGCTGTGGAGAAATGGTGTATTTATTTTTCATATCAGAAAAATTCTTCAATTGAGAGTTACATGTATATACAGTTTTTCAGAGGGAAAATGAAAATACATAGGAGAAATGTAACTTTCCGTACGATAAATTGCTAGGTAAAATGTTCGAATCATTTTTTCCATGAGAAAAATACTGCAAATTTTATCCCTTTTGTGGATGCTTTGTTAGTTGAAACATTAAAATGCTGGGTAATGTACGATTGTTCGTAGGAAGAACGATCATTAGAATTGAAATAATGATTGAATTCCAAAGAAATGCTGTTCCCTTTATCATTGCATCGTACATTTGATAAAATTAGGGCTAATTATTAAAGCGTTTTGCTGTAGCGAAAGAGAACTATAAGTGCCTGATTTAGTCTGTAACTGACAGGCAAAAGATTACATGAAAGGTAAGGGAAAAAGCGTTTGGAAACAAGAATGCATCGGTTCGCACGTGGATTTCATTGCTGTGTCTGTTTCTCTTTCATGGTGTTTGGTAGATACAGAGTGAATATTTTGTAGCTATATGCATATCGTATCCTTAATTGTGAAAGTATCAGCCATTGCGATATGCGTTATTTGGAAAGGCTTATCTCTTGATAGGAAGCATTTTTGACCTGAACGTTT